AGCCTGTAATCCCAGCATGCAGGAGGACCATTGGGAGTTTGAGCCCAGCCTGGGCTACAAAATGAACTCAAGGCCAGCCTGAACTGCATAGCGAGACCCTGTCTCAAAAAGACAAAAAAAAAAAAAAAAAAAAAAAAAAAGGCTGGATACTTGCAGGGGTGCTGATGCAGAAGATTTCTTTAAAATCCACCTTTCTGGAGTGTCTGACTTGCAATCCATCCACCTACATCTAAGTCATCTTTTCTCTGACTCGTACCACCAGCAATGAATTCCCTGCTTTTACATTTCTGAATCTATTTTCTACTTTACAAAGGATGCAATTTGGGGCTCAGGCCTGGGGGCTGATAGCCAAGAAGTAACTAGTAGGTGTCCTCTTTCAGCAGCCTCTAGAGGAGGAAGTGAGTCTTTTCCAAGAGGTGGGGGCAGAGCAGGGGACACAAGATCATGACCACCCTATCACCCCAACACGGCTGTAGAAGCCTCCTTAGGACAAACAGCACAGTGAGTTCTGAGTTCTTGACCACTAGGACAGCTGGATAACTGACCAGGGTAACTGATTGCTGCTCCTTGTCCTCAGCCCCTGTCCCTTTTTAAGCTGCCCTCTCCTCTCCCAGGCAAGAGCAGGTTCTCAGAATCTTGTGTGCTGATTCCTCCTGGGTACGGTGTGATGTGGCCGATGCCCATGCAGTCCAGGACTCCGGGGCAGTGGTGGGGTCTGGGAACACGCTTCCTATGGAGGTGTGTGTGTGTGGTGGAGGGGTTCTGAGAGGCGCTCAGGGAAGCTCTTGGATAAGGCATTTGAGATGATGCTGATGATGGCAGGAGCTGCTATAGACAATGGTGACACAACCCTGACAATGTGCAGGGTGTGAGCTGGATCAAACCCAGGGGAGCCCAGCAGTGGGATGACAGGCTACGGGAAAAGTTTGACAACGGAGGGGACAATGACAAGAAATACAGAACCAAAAGGGTCCAGGACTGACCTTTCCCTCCAGACCTAGTACCAGATGTAGGGCACCTCCCTCCAGGGGGCTGCTTGGCTAGGGGTTGTCAGCAACTGCAGTCTAACACCCATCAGAGGCCCAGAATAACACATCTATAAGCAACAGCTGGGCCTTACTCCAGGGTTCTCAAATGGTTCAGTGTGATCAGAGGGGTCCACTGCTGTGACATCCCTCAGAGAAGTCTGGGGGATGCAAGGAGACTTGACCTAGCAAGTGTACTCTCCACTTCCACACACTCCAGAAGTTCTTGGGGGGATGTGCAGGTTTCCTCCAAGCTCACTGGGAAAGTGACTTTCATGGAGTAACTGAAACGTGGCTTCCTCCTTGTGGTTATCAGCCATGATCTGAGCAGCCACTGGTGGTCAGAGATGCTCTGGCCTCACCAAGAGTTTCAGGATAATGCCGGGCCCCCTCGTCATTTCAGAAGGTGGTGTGTGATTTGGGTGTCAAGGAGAGCTAGAAAATGTCCTGAGCCCCAATCTCGCTGTGCCTGAGAAAGACCAGGAGCTTTTTTTTTTTTTTTTTTTTTTTTTTGCCTATTGCGCACAGTAATGACTCATGGTTTCTTATTAGATGCATTCATGAACAATTTATTTGCTTATTGAGTCCTGATGGTTTCCTGTCTTCTAGTCTTGAGGAAAAAGCTTTGCACTAAGTCACTCCAGCTGAGGCTTTAGCTCAGCTTAACTTTTTAGGTCACCTTTTGGACAGCTGGCTATGAGTTTCTGGGGAAGAACAGGAGAGGCACAGAGGGGTGGGGATTCAGTCAGAGGACCTGCTAAACTCCTCTGTGGGTGCCCTGGAGATGTGCTGCCCAGACCTCTCCACCCAGCTGCTGGGTATGCTCAGCAGAACATACCCAGCTGTCAACTCCTTCATGGTCAGGTCCAGTGCCGAGCCACCTCGCCAAGGTCACGTCCTTCTCAAAGCAGACCACCTCCAATGACCTAGTGAGATGGGCACGCAGGGCTGGACACTTCCACTTAGGATGGGGCTGACTGGTGCTGTTCATCTCAGACTTCCTCATACCACGGCCAGGGCCTCCTCACTGGGCTGCACCACATTCAGCTTCTGCCTCTGCCCAGTCCTGCTCCTGTCCCTTTTCTTGCACCAGTGCTGTAAACATCGTGCACCCAGATTCCTTCCCAGAAGGAATGCCTTAAAACAGAGCAACCAACGAGGGTTCCCTACTTCATGGTTCTCCACAGAGGTGGATCAAAGTCATGCTTCAGCCCAGTTCTGGCCTAAAGGACCAGTAAAACTGATGTGCGGGGTTCTAAAGTGCATCCTTACACAATCAAACCATTCATTTATCAGGATGTGCTGATCGGGGATGAGGATGATATTACAGGTGGTCAACTGTATGTATCCAGCTGTCCAAGAGAAAACCTATCAAGTCTATTGGTACCTCAATACCTTTGGACTTCCTGTTTTCCCTGCCAGGAATGCTGGAGTTTTTGCCCGCTGTCACCTTCTTAGGCAGGACTTCCTTGACCTTGAATTGAAAAGATCTCCACTTAATGCTCATTCATGCACTGTGTTGTCTGTTACCTTGGTTATCATAACGGTCAAAAATAATGAGGGCAACTTAATTTTTCAGTGCCTGTCTCTCTCATCAGAATATGAATCCCATGAAAGCAGTGAATTTTGTACCTTGTTTGCCTCCATATCCAAGGACAAGTTGGCTTATGTGAGTGCTTAATAGAGAATGAATACACAGTTAGAATGGCAAATACTTGTTGAGTGTCAATAACAGAATCTAGAATATAATGATATTCTATTTGCAAAATATTAATTTGTGCTTTTTCCTTGTAGTTGAGGTAAGTGGTGCTGGTTTTTACTGTAACCAGGAGTACAGAAACTTTTTCTTCAAGGAGATGTTAGTAAATATTTTTGGTTATGCAGGTCAAAATGCTTCTGTTGTGATCACTTAATGCTGCTGCTGTGGCCTAGGAGTAGCCACTGACAATACGATAAAGCTCTGTTTGCAAAAGCAGGTGGCTGCTGGATTTGGCTGACAAGTTGTTATTTGTTGGAACACAAAATTTCCTATAAAATACACTTGTTGAAGTGAAGAAGGAAGTCTATTTAAATAAAAATATTAACTAGCTTTACAGAAACCATATGCAAATTCCTGAAATTGGAGAGAAAACTCAGTTCTAATTTTTCTTGCAACATCTGCAGCTACAGCTGAGGGAGTGAGGAGGGTAGAAAGGAGAGACCCCTTAAAATGTCACGTTGCCAGACAGGATGGGAGTCTCACACTTAGTCATTCTCTGGAGCTTGTCAGGGCCAGAGTTCTGCTTTTCCTTCTGGTGTTACTTTGTGCTATATTCTTTCTACCCCTAACTCTGCTCCTAGAACTAGGGGTTATCATCAGAGCAAGTTTTGCTTCCATGGGGTTAATTACCCAGCCCCATGGTTGACTGTGGCCCCATTTATTTACCTCCAAGCTTAAACATGTTCTGAGTTTAGATATACACATGGCATGACATTAAAAGGTGCTGCTGGTAGTGGCAGAAGGTGACAAAGTGCTAACCCTTTGGGAACAAGAATGGCTTAGATCTGCTGAGCACATATATAGATCAGGCCTACTCCAAGCATTCTACAGGTACTAGCAGATTCAGCCCTCACTGTCATACAAAAATATTATCCCCATTTCACAGATGAGGAAACAGAGGAGCACAAAAACCTGAGTAAGTTGTCCAAAGTTATTCAGTTATCAAGAGACAGAGCTGGAACTTGAACCCAGGATGTGAGCAGCAGAGTCCATGCTGCTGGCATGGATGGCTGTGACTCTACACTGCCACCTCCCATGGACCGCAGGGCTAATGCTTCCCAGTAGTCCAAAACATTCTTCTTCTCCATAGCTTTTTTTTTCCTAAAAAAAATTATTTTATTTATTTATTATTTACTTTAAAATAAAAGTATTCAGATGAGCAACAGTGAACGTACAGTGTTGGATAAGGACCACCTCTTGTTTCAGTAATTTTTTTGGTCACTTCAGGCCACACTCATTAGATAACACTACCCTCATCCTCCTTTTCTCTTTCCATGGCAGCCACTGATTTATCTGCCTGCTTTCTCTATCAAGTTAGCTCTTCTGGATGTTTCATATAAAAGGCACCATATAGTATGTGGAATTTGGTGGTTTTTAAGCATTTTTTCAAGTTCACTCAAGTTGTGGCATGGGTCAGTATTATGTATGTATATATGCATGTAGGTATGTATATATGTATGTATTTTAGCACTGAGAATTGAACCCAGGGCATCACACTGAGCTATATCCCCAGTTCCATTCTTCAAAAAAAGTTTCAGTCAAGTTCTCCCTATGTGCCTTAGCCTAGCCTTGAACTTGTGTCCCTCCTGCCTCAACCTCCCAAGTAGCTGGGATTACAGGCATGTGCTAGGCATTTGGCCCAGCCAGTACTTTATTCTCTTTATGATTCAGTTTCTACAGGCCTGTATAGTAGGTATGGCACTGCTACATATTTGGTTACGTCCATTGTACTCAGCTGTACTGGTCTCTCATGTCTTTAGCTATGGAAGATTCATCCCTACAATAGATAATGAAGTCACTGGCTTCTTACTGGGAGAAACTCTTACACTTTGGTGCTATGATATGGGACATTGGGATGATTTGTACACATATCCATCTCTTCTTGTAACCTCAAATCTCCTTTGTTTATATTAGTGGTACACCGCACACAACACCCGGGGGTTCTGCCAAGTGGCAGTGGAACACACTGCAGCTGACCTTTCCTGCCCTTTCTTCTTGATTGCCCATCACTAGGTGCCTTTGCTCCACTCCAGGATTCCAGAGTGTTCACAGAAGAAGGGACTTTAAAACTCATCTGGCCAACTCCATATTTGAATGGACACGAAGGAGAGGTCCAGTGTCTCTTCCCTGAAGTTACACAGCTTATGAGGGGTACAGCATGCCTGCAGGAGCCTTCCTCTGTAACCTCTCCACCCTCGCTCCCTCCTTCTTTACAGGTGGGGTCCCCCATGTGAGTGCAGGGGAAGCGGCTCTTCTCCTTCCTGGAGGAGCTGAGTGGATTCTTGCTGAGACCAGCCGTCCATCAACTCGGCCTCTTCCAGCTTCCTCTGCAGAATGGCTCCCTGGAGCCCCCCGTGAGACACTCCAGGAACCAGCTGCCTGTCAGCCACCTTATTAAACTGGTTTCCAGATGTCTCCACCTCAGATTGAGGAAGCAGGAAGAGAGTGAAGGGTGGGAGTTTGTCTCTTAAATGAAGTCAGCTGGGTCCATAATAAATAATGCTTTGTACTGATGAGGCAGGTGCGTGGAAGATGGTATGATACAGAAGACATCCTCAGCGAGGCCATGTGTGTGTGAGAGAGAGGCTGACAGACCAGACCATTTGGGGCGAGAGAGGAGAGCCAGTTGGACAGTTAGAGGTGGAGTTGTGGTAGGGAAGATCTGTAATTGTGAATGTTTGAGAAAAACAGGAAAGTGAAAGAAAAGAAGGCTGAAAAGGAGAGATGGGGACAGAGGGCCAAACAGAATTGTTGTGCTTAAAATTTTCCATTGTGCTGGTCTGCCAGGGTCTGTCTCATTCACAACAGCTAATAAAATCCACAGCAAACCCTGGGCCTTGCGGTAGACCAAGCCTGGTACTTTACAGACAGCAGCTCTTCTACTCTTTGTAACTACCTTAGGAGGGAGCTACTGCGATTATACCACTTACGGACAAGGAAAGCGAGGGTCAAACATTATAGAGAACTTGCTCAAGGTTGCTCCATGGGACTAGGGAATGTGGCACCCACGTGTGTACTCTTAGTCATTCCATTCTCCTTCCTGGTGAAATTTGGAGAAACAATCTTCCCAGGTAGAGATCTCTTCACTGCCGATTGGCATATACCTGTGAGTCTTACCTAAATGTGAGTTCAGGCTGAGAGACAGAGGAAGAAATAGGAATGCATCCTTTCTTCCAAGCAATTGTTTTGAGCAGTATCACACCTAGCCAGTTGGATGAACTTATTTTTCTCTAGCTCATGACTGAATGGACTGCTGCAGGTGCCTTCTTCTGCCTTGGTCACTGGGAGGAACATTTTTACCTATATGAGAAGCATGGGTATATTAGTTTCTTGGGGTGGCTTTAACTAATTATCTCTGAATTGGTGAAAATTGATAGAAGGTTATTCTCTTACAGTAATGGAGGCCAGAAGTCTGAGACTGAAATGTGAGCAAGACAGTGCTTCCTGTGAAAGCTCTAGGGAAGAATCTTCCCTTACCTTTTCATAGTTTTCGTAGCTTTTGACAATTCTTGGTGTCTTTTGCCTTGGAGCCACAGCATTCGAGCCTCTCCCTTTATGATCACATGGACTTCTTCCTTCTGTCTCCCCTCTGGCTCCTTCTCCTTTCTCTTATGAAGATATCAGTCACAGGAGTAGGGCCTACTTTAATCCAGAATTACCTTATTTGATCTTGATTACATCTGAAAATGTCCTGGTTCCAAAAAAGATTACTTTCACAGGTACCAGGAGTTAAGATTTGGACATATTTTGGGGGAGGATATAGTATAATCCACTACAATGGAAATATATGGAAAGTTTGGGTGATACAAAGGACAAAAGTAAATTGCAAAGGACAAATGTGTCACATTACCTCTCAAGTATTCCACTCAAGAAATGGAATTTTAACCTAAGGTTTACGCCTTCTGCTTAATCCTTGATTACCTCTCCTCACCCTTGTGTTGCTATCTGCCCTCACCTCCCAGACATGGTCCCTAGGAGTTTAGAATACCACCAAGCTGTGGAGTTGGAATGCTTCTCATATTACTTGAAATTCCTAAAGAGACACATATTGGGGGTGAATAGTTAGGGTTTAAAAACAGAGAAAGGTAGAACTGATTCTTGTCCTTTATCCCGGGTTCATTACTTAGATTACAGCTATCCATGTGACAGGTGTAAGAATTGTAGTAAAATCAAATACAAGATTCAATTGACTTATCAGCAAGGCCCTGCGTTATGAGAGCTCTGTGTTTGGGCCCAGTATAGACATAGAGCTCCCTAAATCCAAGATGATTCTTCAATGTTTCCATAATAAAGGATAAAACTATATTGCTAATACCTTTTTCCCTAGAAGTGATCAGCTGGCTTATGTTACTAGATAGTCCAAGGAGTCATCTAGTTTGGGGATAGCTGAATCTTTCTCTCTCTCAATCTCTTTGTCTCTGTCTCCTTTCTCTCTCAACAAAATGCCATCATGGATTTCAAGCGAAGATTACATAACACATTTCAGGAAGTGACTCTAATTTAGTCTGGGAATAATCTCAGTGGCTACACAGAAGGAATTCTCTGATTGCCCAGGACAGAGATACTAGCCACAGTGGACTAGTAAGATAGCCCTAGCTTCTGTAACAAGTAGCTTTGTCAATCTTAAGATTCAGCACAATAGACATTTACCTTTTAGTTACATAAAGTCCAACTGGGAGAATACTCTGATGGGGCCCTGCCATCTTCCACACGTGGTTTCTAAGGTCAGCAAGAGCATTAGTGCTTAGCCAGGGGAGGGGAAACTGGGCCATCACACAGGAATTTCTTTCACAGACCAAGTCCCCTTCTCATTAGCTGGAACTCAGTCACATGAAAAGACTGTCATGGTCTTAAGGAATATAGTCTGGTTGTGAGCTTAGCAGGAGAGAAAATAGGTTTGTTAAATGGCTAGCCATGTCTGTCACTAGCCGTGTCTGCTCTGATAATGACCAACATTATCAGAGGATAAGGGAGGACTGACTTCCCAAGAAAAGGGATCCAGGGCAGATTTTCCCAAAGTCCCTTGAACTAAGTCATGAGCTGCTTTGGATACATCTGACTTTGGATACATCTGACTTATACATCTTTGGCTATACTTGGATGAGGAAGAGGTATTATTAACTATTGCTGTGTGACAAACTGTCCCAACACTTGATGGTTTACAAGAATATTTTGTTGTATTTTGTTCTATTATGGGTTAGAATTTTGGATAAGTCTCAACCTCATGACTCTTTGGCTCTATATGCTGGGAACTAGGGTCCCTCAGTGACATTTAGCTGCCAGATGGCCTGGTCTGGACTATCCAGCACACATAATCACTCTCATCTACAGTGCCTTGGTGGGGATGGCAGGAAGGCTGGGCTCAGTTGGGCTCCTCTTCCTATTCATGTAGTCTCAGGTGTTGGAAGCGATCTCGGCAAAAGCATACTTGATCATCTTATATGAGGTTCTAAGAAACAGAGTTCTAAGAGTCTTGGGAGAAAGAGGCATGGCTTCTAAAGACTTGGCCTTCAAAGTCCCAGAGAGTCACTTCTGCCACATTCTGTTAGTCAAACAATGTAATAAAGACCAATCTGGCTTCAAGGGGAGGGGAACTAGATCTCCCTCTCAGTTGTTACCTGAGATCACAGATCCTTTCCAGCCATGCGACATTTTGATGTGGGAGCTATGAATCTGGAGGTCTTTCTTGTTCTGTGGGAGGGGGTAGAAGGATGACCTTCGACTTTACTGACTTTACTGCCTACTGCCAGAGGTCCTGGTGATTAAGCTCCTGGTGTCCTAGTTCTTATCTTAACCATGCCTTCAGAGGCAGGATTGCAAGTTCTGGAGAAAGAGCCTGGTCTTCTTGTTTAGAGACAGAATGACAGTGGTGTCCCATGTCAGGCATAACAAGAAGAGAGACACCCATTCCTGGATGGGGTATCTAGCTATAGCCAGCAGCAAGTGTGATAGCTGATGTTGCTTATTCTAAAAGCTTTACTCATACTAACTTGCTAAATACTTTTAGTAACCCTATGATATAAGTACTGTAATTATGCTCATTTTATAAAATAAACTAAGGCATAAAGAGGTTAAGTAACTTGCCTGCTGCAAAATGAAGAGCCAGTATTCAAATCCAGACAGTCTGGGTCCAGAGACCATGAGATTCAAGTAAAATGCTAAAACTAGTAGTCATCCCTGTAACACCCATGAGCCTTAGCGTTTAATACCACCAAGAGTGGTGGTTCAGAAGTCTATCATCAGCACTAATAGACTGATTTACTTTTAGTAGGAAGCCAAATACTTCCTGTGTGAGTTTGTAGATTTCTGTGCTACATCAGTCTTTACCTTTAAGAGTTAACTAACTGTTTCAGTCGGGGTGACTGGCAAACCTATATATCCCTCGTTGTTCCCTGGAACTCGTATGCAAATTAAGTAAAATAAGTCTGTGCTAGACTCTATGTTTGTAAACCTAGGTTGTTGATGAAGTCCAATCGCTAGTTTTGCTGATGATCAGTGGGTGTAGGAGTCAGCACAAACACCTTTATGTGAAAATCTGACTTTCTGAGGAGACCAGAAGTCATGCAAAATCCAGATTCTCCCAAGGAAAACACTGTTGTGGGACTTTCTTCCATGCCTTTTAACTCTCCTAACCCCACATCATGACCCCTTGCTCCTCGCTGTGTGCACTTTGAATTTGCCCTTGTAAACTGATTTTCTTCTGAGAAGAAACAGAAAACCCCCAGGGAAGAATAACTGGAATCTTCCAGGCATTTTGTAGGATTGGACAGTGGGGGCTGCTTGGCAGAGGTGAGCTCCCTGGGCCTGGCATCACGTAAGATCTGTTGATGGCCCTCTGGCCATCTCCTTCCTCCTATGTGGATGGCAGATGGTCTGTATTTTTAATAATTGAAAAAAAAGTAGGAGGGAAATCAGGCTCAGCAGGCAGAATTTGGAACTATCCAGGCAGCACAATTGAGTTGTGAATTTGTTTATTTGGAAATTAGAAGTAATGTCTTCTCCTTTCACTTGCCTGCAGCCTCTGTCACTTTCAGGAACTTTCAAGGGTCCTATGAAATTACTGTCATTAGCAAATATTTGCCAGGGTGGTGAAGGTAGTGGTGAATGGAGGGGGCAGTTGACAGTCCCTAGGACTCTGTAGATGTACGACTATATATTCCATGACTATTCCAGAATGTTTAGCCCTCAAATCCCTCTTAGCCCTAAAATAGCCCTGGAAAGTGGGTAACCCCAAAAATCTTGAAAATCAGCCTGCAAGATCAGTTTTGGATGTTTAAAAGAAAAAAAAGCACAAAATCTCATAAATGTCCACTTCTGTCAGAAAAGATACAGAGTGCCAAGAAAAGATGGTGGAGATCTCGTTGCATTCTACTGCTAAGTATGGAGCTGTTAACTTCATCTGTTCTTCATTTAGTGTAGTGTACGGGTGGAGAATGAGTGGGGACAGGGGAAGAACAGAGGACCAGGAACCCAGAGTCCCAAGTCCTTGGCCTGATCCCTCTGAGCCAAGTGCCCTTCACCTGGTCAGCTTCTTTTTCTAAGTCTCAATTTTTTTTATTGGTAAAAGAACAAAACTGAATTTTACAGCTGAGAGGGGTTGGAGAAGAAATCATTCCTATACAGAATGTGACTACCAAGGAACAAAAGGATCTCAGCAGCAAAGCTGGCTGTAAGGGCACTGGCGAGCCCATGGGAGAGGTTCCTGATTTTGCCTTGGAAACACCATCAACAGTATCAAAAACGTGAGTAACAGGGAAAGGGGAGAATAGGCTTCCATACGGGGGCCCAAGTCCTTTCCATCTCCAACCCACCACAAAAGAGAGGCCACAGGACCTCAGCACCTCAGCCTCTGGCAGGAAGGGCTGGGAAGGAACATTCCAAAGGCTGAAGGAGGAAGGAAAGCTCCTCTCCCTCTGTCTCTCCCCAGAGCTTTCTCTTCTGGTCAAAGCTAGGTCCTACTGACCAGCTGCCACCAGGGGAGAGTCAGCCCAGCAGATGGCGGAAGGTTGGGCTGGGCGGGGATCAGACAGCCCGAAGCACAGTCTTGTTCCTCTCTGAATCTTGGGACATTCTGTTCTCAAGGAAGGCTCTGCTCTCCCTTTCCTCCCTTGGTCTCTTCATCACTCAGTGAACCTCTGAGCTCTTTCTTCCCTCTTTCTTCTTCCTGGCTTCTCTGTCTCTGTCTCTGTCTCTGTCTCTCTCTCTCTCTCTCTCCCCCTTTCCTTATATTCTCTTAGCCAAAATTACAGGTAAA